TGTCGTTGAACGTTGAAGGAGAAAACTAGAATGTAATATGAATAAACTAAGTTAACATTTTTCTTCTAGGCCTTAGTTGTATCTTAAAGGTTGCCAAAGTTAAACTAATAAAATGAAAGAAAAAAAGAAGGAAAAGTATTTATTATAAAAGCACCGCTCTCTTTGCTATCATCAGTTTCATTTTTTTTTTTTAGTTTCAGTATTGTTGAATATTTCAATGGCTTAGGTGAGAAAATATGCATTTTTTTCTGAAGTTAACATTATCGCTTTTTTATACTTAGTATTGTGTTTGTCTATAATTTTTTCTTCTTGTTGAAATTGGCTGAAAACTTAGACTTTGAGGCAGGTTGCTGAAAGTGAATATTATGCTGATTTCGAGTTGGTACTTGAAGTTCGAGAAACTTGTTGGGTAGATATATAGTTTAGGTATGTAACATCAGTGTTTATCAACTGTACTGTACCGGCATTTAGGATTTCGAATTCTGCTTCTATAGTCAGTTAGTTATATTGAGTTGTTGTTTGGAGGAACTATTTTGACGATGGGCCATAATAGAGCTAGAAGAAAGGGAAGGTATTTAGGAAATTGTATAATTGCCAGTTATTTGTTATTTGTAGTCTATTTTGGTGGTGTATTTTATTTTGGTAGTGCTCGAATTCTAATTCCAATATGCTTTGTGCAACTTTTACAATAAATTTGTTCGTTTCCCTTTTTTTTTTTTGTATCTAATCAACTGTTAATGAATTGATGAATTTTTTGCTGTTGTTGTTGTTAAGTATAACTACAGGTTTTTTTCATTATTTTCTTGTCGTTCCTTCTTTTTTTTTTGTTCTGTGACTCTAAAATTGTAGTTTATTTAATATTTAGTAGTGTCAACGAAGGGGCTAAAAAGTAGAACCCGAATAAGTGCAACATGAAATTAATTTATATTCAAGAAGGAGCACATTAAATTGAAGATGGCTTCAAAATTTGTTTTTGTCACTTTTTTTTTCTACTTCTTATTTGATGTTATATTATATTGTGGCCAACGCAGTGATGTGAATACCATTTGTTAGTTTTTTTTTTGGATGGGAAAGGGGGGTTTGAGATTTTTGACATTGACTAATATTTGAAAAAAAAAAAAAAGTTCTCTTACTATTTTACCAGATCAGTACAATCTTAAATGTAACGACTTTTTCATTGGAAGGAAAAGAAGAAACGGAAAATAACTCATATGCAATATATTGATTCATTTTTGTCTCTTAACTGCTTTTTTTTTGTTTTTTGTTTTGGTTTCGATCGCTTTATCGTTTAATGACGAGAAAGAAAAGAAAAAAAAATAGAATTCGAGAAAGTAAACCAGGAGAAACAGAAATGAATAGATTTAGTATTAAGGAGAATAAAATGTGCCTATCGAAGGAGTTTGAAAAGTGAAAGAAAATGAAAGGATTGCTTTAATGATTTTGAAAGGCGGAAAAAAATGGAGAGAAAGACTGCATTTTTCTTTTTTTTTTTTTTTATTGGTCTTTTTCAGAATAATATTTTTTGGATAATTATATGAGCAAGATTGACCTTTAGTTTTTCTGCATTTGTTTTTATCTGTTTATTTGCTTTTGCACTGCAGTTAAAAGAAAAAAGAGAGAGAGAAGAAGAAGAAGAAGAAGAAGAAGAAGAAGAAGAAAAACGTTTGAATGGCTTTTTTATGTGAAGTAAAAGTTTTGTTTTCAAAGCTGATTATTCGCTTAGTTAGACGGTCGTAGTTGTTCGTTTTTTATTGCTGTTGTTTGATGAAGAAGGTGGTATTGAAGATGTTGATGGCGATGATGGTGATGATGATGATGAGTAGGAGGATGATGATGATGATGATGATGAT